TTTTCCTATTTAGCGCCCAAACTCTGGAATAACCTACCTAACATTGTTCGGGAGGCAGACAAACTCTGTCAGTTTAAATCTAGATTAAAGACTAATCTCTTTACCCTAGCTTACACATAACACACTATCACAATTCTATAATTCAAATCTGTTAAATGATTGGAGATAAGATCCAGATCAGATGGTCACTGTAGCCACCCAGATCCAGTCCATATCCAGACCAGATGGTGGATCAGCACCTAGAGATGACCTCTACAGCCCTGAATGTCAGCGGAGACCATGTCAACTAGATGTGCCCCAGAGACAGATCCCATGTGAAGACCTCATCACCTCGACGACCATCGGTACAAGACCACAGAACCAGACAAGTCCTCTGCACCTCTGTTGCAGCCTGGAATTAACCCCCCACCCCCAACTGAGCCTGGTTTCTCCCAAGGTTTTTTCTCCATTTCTGTCACGATGGAGTTTTGGTTCCTTGTCATTGTCACCTTTGGCTTGCTTAGTAGGAGACGCTTGACTGATTGCACAGACACTATTGGAAGAGAGCTTAACTGGATGATGACATCACTGAATCACCAATGAACTAACTTCAGCTGGGAAAATGACTCTTTGTTATTGCCTTCTTGCATTATCGACACACTATTTTCCTGTTTAATACTATAAAGCTGCTTTGACACAATCTGTATTGTATAAAGCGCTATATATAAATAAAGGTGACTTGACTTGAATTAGTGAATGAGTGATTTCAGGCACAGCAAATGACTCATTTTCTGCAAATTATTTTTCTTGAATTGGAATGTGTACAAAGGATTGTGGGTGATTGTAGGATGTGATTGTTACACTGGATGCATCCTTCAAACTATGCCAAAAGAAGTACACAAAATGAAGGCTGCCTTCATGTTAGTATGGCCTTTTCTTCTCTAAGTTGGCAAGAATAAGCTGAAAATACACAGACACATGTAAGCACACACACTTGCCTTAGTACTGTAACTGCACCTCTAGAAC